GGTTTAAGCTTGTTTCAAGGTATTCTACAACCTGTAAGTTGCAGGCTTTATTTTAAAACCATTAACTGTACTATGGACACCCTGACAAAGTGTGAGCTTTTATCACATGAAATCAGTATATCCTAAGTTTGCTCTGCTTTGCCTGAACCTTTTCCAGGCACTGTGAGAAACTTTTCAATGAGAATTCAAATATACAGTAACTTACACTGTCATCTTTTATGTGTATAGCCAAATAATCAGGAGCCAGAAGCTTGCTGCCTTGGAGAAAAAGATATTACTCGCTAGCTGTAGCTGCACTCCCAAACAAGCAGTCATGTGGCAAAAGCTGCTGCCTGCACAGAAGCAAGAGATTGCTGGTTACTGTACTTTAACCTTCTTCAGGTGATCAATTCCATGCCTGCAGGGACTAAGCAAGGAAAGACCTTCAGTGAGATAAGGCAGCTCTTAGCTATTGGGGCCAAGTGATGCAGGAAGCAGGCAGTGGGAAAGACAGGCCTAGAGGAGTGGTCACTGTGGAGCAGGAAGGTAAAATTCTGTGTTCAAAATAAAGGGATACACTTTCCACTGCTGCTTCCATCACTATGAACAAAGCTGCTGAACCTGTGAAGCCATACATCTAAATAAATGTGTACTTGCGAAAACTGAGTTTGTATGAAGCAAAGTCTCTAGGGTTGAAAGGGAACGTAACTATTATTGTTGGTTTATGTTTCAGGACTTTCAGGTTAATGCTGTGCCCCCCCCCCCTTTTTTTTTTTCTTAAGGGAGGTGATATAACTAACCATGATGGAACAGGCGGACGGTCAATTTACGGATCAGCATTTGAAGATGAGAATTTCGAAGTGAAGCATACTGGTCCTGGATTGTTGTCAATGGCAAATAAGGGCAGGGATACAAATACTTCACAGTTCTTCATAACACTTAAAAAAGCAGAACACTTGGACTTCAAGCATGTGGTATTTGGGTTTGTCAAAGATGGAATGGATGTTGTGAAAAAGATTGAATCCTTTGGTTCTCCTAAAGGGCTAGTGAATGGAAGAATTGTCATTACAGACTGTGGGCAAATATAGAATTATTGCTTTGAGTATCCAGATGTTCTAGCAGTATAAATCAGTATTTAGATGTTAATTGACTAATTATTTCAACTTCTTAAAATGGACACTTCTGATGTATAAATGTAAAATTGCAGCTGATAGTTGGGTTTTTTATGTGTTCTAATTGATTTTTTTGCATGTTAAAGTTCAGACACTGGCATATTTCAGGTGTATTTGTGTTAATCCTGACATATTTGTATTAAATGTCAAATTTTAAAAATTAAATCTTAGTCTTGTTAAAAATAAATGTCGTGTCCTCACTTTGGTTTGTTTAAAAAAGAACTTGTGTAGTTTGGCTTCCTGCTCCGATAAATCTGTATTTTGAAAATGGCTGTAGGTGCTAATTGCTAGTCAGGAAACTTGAAGGCCTTTGAAATGTAATGCTTACTCTGATGTGTAGAAAGCAAGTGGAGGCAGCTGGCAGGTAAGTGCTGGTTTGCGCTATCTGAAGTCTCTCAGTAGCGCTTCAGTAGTTGAAAGCTGGAGAATAGTTCTTGAATGCTTTGATCAATATTTTGCTAGAGAAGCGTGCCTATTTATTTTTCACATAAAATAGGTCTAAATGCCTTAGTAGAGTGAAAAACGGCTACTTGACATTAGGATTTTACCTGAAATGCTGTAGTACAACAACACTGATACTTCTATGATATGTCTCTCCCTGCTCTTTTAATGTTTATTAGCTCCCTTTCCTGGGGCAGAGTTCTAGTAATTGGGTCAGAGCCGTTTTCTCTCTTAATAGTGACTATATATATGTAAGTGCTGGTTTGGGGGTTTTGTGTAACTTCTCTACAGCTCAGGACTGCCATTATAAAGGTTTTTAACAAGGTAACCGGGCGGCCACCATTATCTGTAAGCTGGAACTGTGTAACTTGTATCAAAAAAAAATAGCTTTTTTTGAAAAAGCTGAATATCCCTTTTTTTTTTTTTTTTTTTTGAGGGTAGTCGGAGTTAATTCTTCCCGGAAGTTCCTTCAGAAGCATTAGGCTGGAAGACCAAGCCGTTACAGGAGCTAGCCCTGTGAGGCTAGGGCCCGTCGCAGGGCCTCTGCTGCAGAACGGAGTGCGCCAGCGGCGGGGCGGTGGGCCTGCTCTGCCCGGCTCCCGGCCCGGCTTCCGGCCCGGCTCAGCCGCTGCGAGGCCTGTCCCCTCCCAGCGCCGCCGTAGAGCCCGGCCCCCAACGAGCGTGTGCGCATGCGCGCCGCCTCCCGCGCCTGCGCCTACCGGCTTCGGGCTGTGGCGGTTAGTTCGAGCGCGGTGGTGCTACATGGCCGGCCTCGGCCCCTCCGTTGGAAGTCTGCGGCGGCTCGGCGCCGCGGGGGTGAGACGGGAAGGCTGAGGGTGCAGCCAAGGGAGGGAAGTGGGAGGAGGAGGGGGAAAGTTGCCCTTTCTCGCCTAGTCCCAGAGGTGCTTGGGGATGGTGGTGTCTGTGTCCCCTCCCTGGGGCTTCGTTGTAAACACATCACATTACGCGTAGGGGGCGAGAGCCGAAAATGGGATTTGAACAGGCTTTAGGAGCTTATGTATAAAATATGTGTTTTCCACTCCTACTCTTGTTTCCTCTGCTCTGATTGCAGTACATAGAATGGGTTGGATTGGAAGGGATCCTAAAAAGATCAAGTACAGTACAAGTGCTGAAGAGACATCCCTGTCTGAACTTGGAATTTCCCTGGAAATTGCAATTCCAAATTTTATGCATTTCCAAAACACAGTCTGAGCAGCTTGGATCTTAATTTATGCCTAAAACGTTCTGGTGTCTGCTAGTTGGTCAAGATTGTATGTGAATCTTCTTAGTATACTAGTAGGATAACTTGTTTATTGCATATCCTCTTAGCCGTGCAGATGAGGCCCTCAGTGACACAGTTTAGTGGTGGACTTGGCAGTCCTGGGGTCCGGGTTGGGCTTGATGATCTTGAAGTCTTTTTCCAACCCGGCTGATTCTACGATTCTTCTGCCACAGCAATCACCAGCCTTATTTATAATGTGTTAGGTGTGCCTGTGATTTTTTTTTTTTTGTTTGTTTGTTTGTTTGTTTGTAAAACCTAGTGGTTCTGTTTTCAGGGAGAAATTGTGCCATGTCTAGTCAGAATCAAACCCATAGTTCACAATAAACTGCTGCAATGACCATAGAGTAAGTTATGATGGGTGTCATTCCCTTGCCAAGGTAAAAGCAATGTTATTTTACACCAGATAATGCCAGGTTCTTTGCACCAATGTGAATGAAGGAACTGAATTGTGATTCCTCTGTTTCCGTTACTTCCATTATTTATGGATGTGCGCAGTGGGTTAGGAAACTGCTCCAGGAGCAAAGAGTCCTTCCGCATGCTGGTGTTTCACAAGTGTTTGAACTCATGCTGCAAGGGAAGTAATATGTTATGCTTGCAAGGAACCAAATGCTAGATTTGTTTGTGCATTGTATTATTTTATTAAAAAGCAGTGTTTAAGTACAAGAAAATACAGCAGTTGATCTCTTTGTTTAGAGTATATGTCCTGGTTTCAGGAGAGATATGAAACACAACTAAGATCGTGAGAGCTGCTTTGAGTCTAATCTTTTATAATGTACGCTTAATTGATTTTAATTGTAGCCTAATATTCCTGTCATTTGTTTTTGTAGTATGTAGTTACAGGTTAGTAGGAAAAAGTAAACCAGGAAACTTTGACATAAAAAAACTAGATATAAAAATAGATGGCAATGTTACCTAATCCTACTTTTATGCCCTTATTTTATATTACTGTCTTCATAAAGTCTTACAGTCTCTCAAATTTTTTAACATGTAACACCATGAATATTTCATCATTAGACCATGGAGGATGTTTGCCTCTTTATATTAATATGAAGACCGTTTACATTTGTATATTGAAAAAAAAACAAAAACCACTTCCCTTTTCAAAGACAGTAGTTTGTAGTAAGATTTCTATCACAAGGCGTTGTAACTGTGAAACAAGTTAAGTTGTAACGTGCACTTTACCTGAAAATTCAGACTATATTACAGTGTGTTTGTTCTTGTAGGATTGCCTTTCAGGAGCACTGCATACTGAAAGGAAGAGTGGAAGCTCCCTAGGGTACAAAGGTAATACCAAACAATGGTGCTTTGATATATTTTTCAAAGAAAATATATACTAAGACTGTGTCTTTCCTAAATTTATTTTAAGTAGTTTTGTATTTTCCCATTTTAAATGGGTAGACATTCTTGATCAGGGGTTTAGTCTATCTGAGAGCCAGCCTAGCAATGTTAACGTTCACACAGACAGCACAAAGGATGCTTTAGAACAGTGGTTCCCAACCTGTTTGTGTTGAAGTCCTGCTTGAAGTGGTTGGTATCAGTCCACCTCATAATGCATGCGCTTGGGTTTAACTTAAAGGTACATATATATTTATTATTTAGAGTGTCTTTGGGCTTCTTGAGAAACACATGTTGCTGGTGCATGCAGACAACAGGGTAAAACTATGTATTTATCAGATTTTGGTTGTAGAAAAATTAGTATATGAATGCAAGCTGTAAAACTTAAGAAAGACTTAGCTGGTTTGAAAACTAAATAACACCTCCCATTGTTTAAGCTGTTAAAATTTTTCATTCATTTGTAAGGGTGTATCAGTGGGTTTTTGGTTCTTCGGCCTAACTGATTAGATGGAAAGCATTTCTAATAAGCCCTGTAGATTTCTTAACATCAGCTTCTCAAATGCAAAATAGAATTGTTACTGTCTTCTGTATTTCAGGTGACACAAGCAGCTCACTGGAAAATACAGTTATTTCTTTATCCAAATGTTCTTTAGAGTCAGAATTTACTGAAAGTGGAAAAGACAACAGCATCAGATCTTCTAGTGACTTCCTCCAAAGTTTCAAAGTCCGGGATTGGTAAAAGGCGTTTTCTCTTCAGCTCTCCTTTATCATTTGTTATCTTTCACAATCTAGATAAACCATATGTAAACAATACATTCAGATTGCACAGATGCAGAAGTCGTTTTAAGATTCTTTTCATCTTACTATGTACTGTCTGTGGCTGAGGTATGAAATAATGTGAATGCCAATTTTGATGAGGAATATTGTCTCACTTTCTACTCTAATCTGTGTATGCTGGAATTGCTAATGCGATACAGGGATGATATAAACTGAACTAGAAGAAAAACAAAGACTGATAAACATCTTTAAGTTTATTTAGAGATAATCTGATTCCAAAAGCCAAGAAGGGTCTTTTCAGGGCTAGTTTACACCAAAAATGAAAAATAATTTAAAAAAGCATTTTGTTTTTTTAGCTTTCCTGGAATTTGGTGATTGGTAATGAAAGGAGAGGTTTTTACCTGCTGCAGATGTGCTTACAGCCTGAAAATTCTAGCTATTCTTACTAATCTTATGTCAGCAGCATTACTAATTGTTCTGGTTAAAATCTTGTGAGTAATAATGACTTTTATCCAAATGATTTTACTCTATTTGTTACCAGTCAAATATAAAATTCTCAGCTGTTTATATTTTTATACAGACTTCTCTCAATGCTCTATATGTAGTACATGAGAATGGTATTGAGTAATTTCCAATTATTACTTTTTGGTATTTGTTTAGGTTTGATGATGAGCAAGATTCATGTTGTGATTCAAGTGATCTAGAAAAAGAAGAAAAGGCCATTAATTGGTCTGAAACTGATGCAGTTCAAAATACAGCTATATATGTGGAAACAGGTAAATACTGAATTTTAAATATTTTTACAGCTCTGTGTGAAGTATGACATGTATTTTAAACTTTCTAATAAACGTATTTCTGTTTGGTTCAGAAATACAATGATCAGCAAAAATGTATTTTAATTTGGGGATTTAACCTTTCATGTCAGTATGAGTAACACCTATAGGGTTGGTTTAGGAGGTCCCGGCATTCTTGATGAAATATTAACATACATTTAAGAAGGAAAAGTCAACTTTGTATGAAACTGGTTGCCACGTGACTTTATAGTATAAATGAAGAAACAGGATGGTTTGGAGGGGGTTTTGTTTATTTGTTTTGTTTTATTTTGTTTTAAGTAGCTAGCTGCATTACCAGATAGTACAACTCTTTTAAACCAGATGTCTTTTTTCAGTTTAAGGTTGGAAAACTGGCGCTAGGTAGAGAAAGGATGTTAACTCAGGAAATTCTAGCTAGAAGGTTGTAGCAGGGACCAACTGTCATTCATTCACAAAAAATGTATGAAAATGCTGCTGCAGTTGGAGGGGTTTGTGAATCAGTGTAGCTCTGTCTCTTGTGTAGAGTTTTAGGTTTAGAAGGACATTAATGTATTCTCTTAAAAGTGTATATGAAAGTTTAGAGACAGGCAGGCAACCAACCACCCCCAAAGTGGCTATAAGGAACCTCAAAAGTCGGGCAGAACAGATCAGTGTAACTGTAACAGACTCTCATCAAAAGTGGTATTAAATGGGTGGGGACTGTATAAAAACAGCTTTCTGGAAACCCATTCTGTCTGAAAAGAAAACACAAACCCCCGAACCGAACAAACTAACAACATCAAAAAGAATTTAATTGCACCAGGAACTATGTTTTCCTCATTGGTCTGAGTTTTGCTCTATATGTACCTGTTGTAGTTTAAACTCCACAGGCAGCTCAGCCCCACACAGCTGCTTGCTCACTTTACCTTCTCCCCAAGTAGGGAGGGTGAGAAACAGAAAGGTGAAAGTGAGAAAACTTGCAGGTCAGGTGAAAAACACTTTAATATGTAAACCAAAGCCCCACATGCAAGCAAAGCAAACCAAGAAATTTATTTATCACTTCCCATCAGCAGGCAGGTGTGCAGCCCTCTCCAGGACAGCAGGGCTCCATCACATGTAATGGTTATTGGGGAAGACAAGCGCTATCACTGAACATTTCCCCCTTTCCTTCTTCTTCCCCCAGCTGTATATGCTGAGCATGACACCATATGGTCTGGAATATCCTGGTCAGTTGGGGTCAGCTGTCCTGGCTGTGTCCCCTCCCAAATCCTTGTGCACCTCCAGCCTGCTCATTGGTGGGGTGGGGTGAGAAACAGAAAATGTTTCAACTCTGTGTAAGCACTGCTCAGCAATAACTAAAATATCCCTGTGTTACCAACACTGTTTTGGTCACAAATCCAAAACAGCTCTGTATGAGCTACCAGCACAGTACCTAAATTTGTATTTCTGATACTGTCACCTAGGTAATCTTGGCCTGATGTGGTACCTAGGTGCAGATGGCCTTGCAAGATGTCTCCCCCAAAAAGATCATAACACTTACCTTCAGTTATCTGTGAATTTTGGGTGCTTAACTATTTGTGAAATCCAGCCATTCCTCACTGTGCTGTCTGCAACTTTTATCAGCTTCTTACACTGTAATCTGTCATGTCTAGCTGTTTCTCCTGTCGTGACCAGCAGTTTCTTAAGTCTTGTTCTCTTAACTTTGATGTCAGGCCAGGGTCTAGTCAGCAGCAAATCACTTGCCTGAAGACCTTACAGAAAGTTCCTTACAAGAGGAGGTTTTGGCTACATTATGATTCAGGCTGTGCATAGATGTCATACAGATATCTATGAGACTTCTGTACTGAAGTAGAGGGTATAGTTTTACTTATAAAACACCATTGATCACTGATCATTTCAGCCAAGTCATGGAACCCAGCTTTGAGCAATTCTGCATAACTCTTTAGGAGATTACTTTCTCATTTTGCCATGTCTTGCTCTACATTTGTTACTTTAAATGGCTAAAACAAGTTTTCACTGTTTTGGAACAACAGTAATGTCATTATTTATCTAGGATTAATTTTCTAATATAAAATGGGTTTTTCCTTTCCATAGGCAGCACCTTACCTTTTCATTTGGCTGCAAATACACAAGAAAATAGTGACCAAAATGTTACGAATGGTTTGCTAAGGAAAATTATAAGTGGAACTAATGCTGCAGCATGCAGTACTCAAGGCTTAATACCGTCTCACATCAGTCAAATTTATGATGAATTATTTGTCATACATCAGAAGCTCCAGGTAGGAACTGGAATCACTTTAAACGTTTTGTTGGGTAATGTCACAAAGACTTTCACTTTTGAAAGAGAATTCAGAAATTACTTATATACTAAATAACTATTATACTAAGACTATTGGTTATTACTATTATTTATACTAATCACAGTGTCTTATATACTAAAATTCTATCATCATCCACCTCTTCCTCTAAATAAATTTGCTGATTTGGTTAGTGGTACTTTGTCTTGCATAGTGGGTAGATAAGACAACAGTCTTAAGGGAGTTTGAATGCAGTGCTTCTACATCCAAGAGTGTCTTGTGATGAGCTGTGGGCATAGAAGGAAACACTTGCAAGTACTGCTTCTTTTGAGAGCATCCAAAACTTTCCTTGTGACCCTAGGCATTCATGGCCTCCTCTTAAAACCCTCCATTCTGTGTTATCTTTACTTTTGCACTGCTGAGGAGTCCTAGCCTTTCATCCCCTAGAAGGCCTAGGCCACTAGCAGAAGAACTTGCTGTATGGCTTTATTCTGTAATAGCTCCCATGCTTCTGCTGGTTTCCCTGTCAGGACTGCCTTTTGCATTGTATGAGATAAAAATAATTTTGTGTCTCTTTTTCCTCACTGCTTTTTCAGGGATGCTTCCTACTAATCAAAGAAACAACATAGTAATCTCGTGTTCAGTGTTCACAGTCAAGACTCTCTTTCGTCTTACAGTTAATATTATTACCCAAAACTTTTGAAAGCAAAAGCCTAGGCTTAATTGTCTTAAGTTTATAGTTAACAATAATGTAGAGTTGAATTTTGTATTCTGGGAAGCTGAACCATCCTGATGCACATCAAAGTCATTTGAGTTAATGTCTGGGGAAACTGAACATAGATAGCCATCAGGGTACTTTTAATGAGTAAGCTATTACGTAACACTGTATAATTTTACAAGAAGCTAAGCTTATCTCTGAGAGAGAAAATTTAAATTTGGTATAAATTGTGACAATTTCATGTTTTCTAAAAGCCTTTTTTTTCTTGATACAGAGAGAAAGTTTAGCGCAACAGGAATATGCTCTCCAACTCCGGAAAAGAGAGCATTTCCTAACAGAACGAGAAACGGTGCTTTTTAGCCATGAAGCAGCTTTGGCTAAAATACGTGGTGTTGAGGAAGAAGTTCACACAAAACTTGGAATTATAAAAGAGGTGCAGTAATATCTTAAATGATATTTATTGCTCTACATGCCATTTAACTTATCTCAAGCCATCACGTTTACTGGATATGTAGTACTAATTTTTTTAAATGCTTGAAATCCATAAGTGAAAGACTTACATAGAAAGTACCACATAAAATATTTAGGGGTTTGTATTGCTTCTCTTTCAGAATGGTGCATTTAATTGTCTTATGCATAGATACGTTTCACTGTTACGATTTAGAAAAGAGGTGACTTGTTTCTAAAACAGAAATACACGACCACTGTTAGAGAAAAAAATTGTGGTCTATCCGTACTTGTATGTAGCTTCAATTAGTATCTTTGCATTAGCCGTGGTTGAAGTAGATATCCTTGGGAAGGCTTGAAGACACAATGAGATCTTATGACATAACAACTATTGCAGAGAATATTATCAAAAAACACTCAGAGTTCAAAGGAAGAAAGATCAACCTAACTTTGGAAGTGTGGGAGGAAATGAAATGGTGTGATTTTGCTATAAGAAGAGGTGGTAATAACAACACTGTTCTTGTGAGTATTTCCTATTGAATTTAGGTCTTGTAAAGCTTTGGTTACTATCCAGAAGGTCACCAAGAGAAGCCCTGAGATGTATGTAGTTGTGTCAAAACCATAAGCTGAGAAATTACATTTCTTTAAATGGTGCAGATAAACCTTTCCTGCAAGTTGTTGAGGGAGGATAAGACTACATTTTAAAAAGGGGGAAAAGTCATCGGAGGAGTGAGACCTCAACTTTTGTAGGAATAGGTTTAGGTGTTAATTTAGGTGTTAATTTAGATGTTAATTTAGGTGTTAATTTAGATGTTGCAAATAATATAAGAATGTTACACCAGTTAGAGAACTGGCTGGTAAAAACACAGGAAAAATTGGTGGTTATCTGGGAAAATCTGTGGAGGAAGACTAAAAAAATGAGGTGCCTGTCTTGTTAAAAGGGAGAGTTCTACAGCCATCAACTTAATGTCAGTTCTCTAAGTAAGTAAGTAAAAAAATAGATTCTGAAAAAAAAGCTACGAACAAACCATGGAAACTGTGATGCAGAAAACAACGTAATAATTAACTACTAGCATATGTTAATCATAAATTGTCAAATCAGTCTCATTTCCACTACAGCAAGGTAATGGCCATTGCTAATAGAGGAGGAGGAGTTATATGTCTGGACCGAATTAGAAATGTTTTATATAGTTTTGCATGGCATTTTTGTAATCATGTTAGTAAAATATAACATAAATGTAGTGCAGTTAGTGTAAAGATGCAGTGAGACAGTAGTTCACAATAAAGTTGAAGGAATGTACCTAGTGAATTTGGAATCTTTTCAGTCCAGTATTATTCAGTATTTTCAGTGAGAAGTTTGATGGTGAAATAGAGCACATTCATTAAATTTGAAGTAAATAGCAAGTGAGGGTGAATTTCAAGCATGCTGAAAAAGAGCATTGTGATTAAAATTGATCATGACAAATTGAAGATATTGTAGGTCTGAAAAAACTACTATTCAGGAGGTATGAGTGTGCAATATTGCATTTGAATAGAAATATCATCTACAGAAATAGAGAATAATAGGTGGATGCATGGGTTAAACATACAGGATGAATTGAGTGTTAATGTGCCAATCTTCAGCTACATAAAAGGCTGCAATAAAGAGGAAAACTGGTTTGTTTTTTTTTCATGTCTGTGATAGCAGCAGTAAGGGAAAATTAGGTAAGTATTAGGAAAACCTATTTGAAAAAATAGGTGAGCTTACAGAGAGGTAGATTGGCAAGACTGTAGTGTAGTATCGGAGGACTTAAGAACAGCCTAGGCACACCTGGGAAAAGTGAAATGGGATAGCTGGTTATGATATAGATGACACTACCTGATGTATATAGAGGTATATATAATATATATATTATATATATAATATAAAGGTATTATATAAATATATACATATAAAATAGTCTCTTGTAGAGCATGAACTAAAACCATCAGTTTTATCAGTGCTGTTCCCAGGCCGAAAGTCAAAAACACAGCACTGCACCAGCTACGAAGAAGGAGAAAAAATGACTGCTACTGCTGAACCCAACGATCCATCCCTGGTGGTGTTCAAGGCCAGGTTGGACAGAGCCTTGGGTGACATGGTTTAGTGTGAGGTGTCCCTGCCCATGACAGGGTGGGTTGGAACCTGATGATCTTAAGGTCCTTTTCAACCCTAACTATTCTATGATTCTATGTTTTTAAATTTTGTATTTCTATAGCAACATGAGGCAGAAGTTAAACAGCTGACAGAAGTCTTGAGAGAAATAACTAAAGAAAATAGGAGGCTGAAGTCATCATTTGACACCTTGAAGGAAGTGAATGACTCTTTAAGAAAACAGGTAAAATTAGTTATTTCCTGTTATCAGTAATTTTACAGCAATTTTAAATATTTGAATTGCTTAAGTTTGGCAAATTGCTAATTTTTTTTTATTTCTTTTGTAAGACAAGAAGTGTGTGAATGGCTGAAAGTATTTTCTCCACCTGTTTCTAGTACTTGAAATTTAGCCTGACTCTTTACAGTATAAATAAAGTTGGACTTATTCCTCTGACCTACTAGCAACAGTAGAGACTTACTCTTTCTCTTTTCCCCATGTCAGACCTAACTCCTAGAATGTTGATGGTTCTGGTGCAACCTATCTTTCTCTTCCCCTTGCTACAAAATTTTCATGCTTCCATGCCCGTGGCAGGGGGTTGGAACTGGATGAGCTTTAAGGTCCCTTCTGACCCAAACCGGTCTGATTCTGATGTTAGGCGTGAAAATAACAAAAGCTAGGAGAAGAGGCACAGTTTAAAAGACTCTGTAGAGGGTTTATGAAGGTGAGGAGAAATGTAGCGATACATTGGTGTAAAATAATGAACAATACAGACGAGGCTAGGCAAATGGTCCCATTTCTTCTTTATTGCCAGTAAACGAAAGGGGGTGGCTTTTGAAACTGAAAATTTTCATTTCATTCTGATTTGGAATGTGCAAATGAAGCATGGTTGTTCAAAGATCACAGGAAGAAATACCTCCAGCTTTGTGGCCACTTAATCACAGCCAGTACCTGGAGAGGGAGAGGGAGAAGAGAGGTGGCCATAAGGGAAGATTATGAGAGGAGAGGAGGGGCGACTGTGAGGGGGCAGCGTGGATGGCCATGAGGGGGAGAGCAGGGGCAGCTGTGAGAGGAAGGGAGAGAAGGCCATGAGGAGTGAGGGGACAAGAGGAGCGGCCATTAGGGGAGATCATGATGAGAGAGCAGAGGTAGCCATGCTGGGATAAGAGGGGTGGTCGTAAGAAGTGAAGGGAACATTGTGAGGGAGACGAGGAAAGCCTGTGAGGGAAAATCATAAGGAGAGAGCAGGGGTGGCCATGAGGGATGATCATAAGAGGGGAGCAGGGACAGCCATGAGGGGAGATCGCGAGGGAAGATCATGAGGAGAGAGGAGAAGAAGCTGTGAGGGAAGATTGTTAGGAGCTAGGAGGGGGCGGCCATGAGGGAAGAATGTGATGGGAGAGCAGAGGAAGCTGTGAGGGAAGACCACGACTGGGGAGCATGGGTGGTCATGAGGGGAGAGGAGGAGCGGCCATAACGAGTGAAGAGGACATCATGAGGGCAGAAGAGGAAAGCCTGTGAGGGAAAATCATAATGGAAGAGCAGGGCTGGCCATGAGGGATGATCATAAGCGGAGAGCAGGGGCAGCCATGAGGGGAGATCATGAGGATGGAGGAGGGGTGGCCATGAGGGAAGATTGTGAGGGGAGAGTAGGGATGGCCATGAGAGAAGATTGTGAGGGGAGAGCAGGGGTGACCATAAGGAGTGAAGGGAACGTCATGAGGGGAGAAGAGGAGAAGCTGTGTGGGGAGATTGTGGTGGGGGTAGACATGAGGGGAGTCATAAGGGAAGAGCACAGGCAGCCATGAAGCCTGAGGGTTGACCATGAAGGGAGATATGAGGGGTTATCGTAAGGGGTTGGTGCAGCAGCTGTGCAGTGTGGGCCACTATGAGGCACGGATGAGGGGTGGCTGTGAGTGGAGATTGTGAGAGGCATCCATGCGGGGAGATCAGTTTGCCCTTAGTGACATTGTTTAGTGGTAGTGTATTGGTTTAGTCAGTTCTGGGGTAATGGTTGGATCTTAAAGGTGTTTTTCAACTTAGTTGATTCTATGATTGATTGATTATGTGATAATCATGCTGCTCATTGTTGTATACAGAGAGCATGTTTCTTACATTTGAATAGTTTACAGTTTCCTTCATCTTTTCTCATGGAGCAAACTGGTTTTGTAGCATGGTCAGTAACTGTTTTATTTTGCAGAGAAGAAAGCTCTGAACAAGAACAAGACCGTTTTTGAAAAGTGCTCTCCATTTTCAAGTTACTTCTTCATGAAAAGTAATGAAATGTATAGTACCTCTATATCCTGAGTGGCATTTTAGTGCCCATTCTTCCCCTGCAAATTGAAAGGTTTGGCTGCAAATCATCAAAGAGCTAGTGTCTTATTTATCCTGGAACAGGTTGCGCAGAATGGTAGTGGAGTCTCCCAGCTTGGCAATATTCCAAGGCTTTCTGTACATGATCTTAGGCAACTGGCTCTAGGTGCCCCTGCTCGAGGAGGGCTGTTGGACCACATGATCTTCAGAGGTGTCTGCCAACCTCAATCACCTTGTGATTCCATGATTTGTTGAGGAGTTGGATGATTGTTTTGTTTCTATCACTTCATATGCTCAGAAGAAAGAACTTGAACTGAAATAATGTAGATGCTCACCAACAATATTAAATTATTTCAGTGCAATAATGAAATCAAGAAATGAGTTTTGAATTTACAGATACTTAAATATTTTCTGATTCTTTCAGTTAAGTGATGTAACTGAGCTGAACAAGAAGTTGGAAGGTCAAGCAAGAAAAGTACAAGCTCGTTTAGAGAATCTACAAGTAAGATTTACTTTTACATGTACCTGCTTTCTTTATAGGTGACAAGTTAAATAAAACCCATTGTTACATTTTGTTGTAGAGGAAGCATGAATTGTTAACAGTAAAGAAGTCTAATAATATCTGTCAAGTGGTGCAAAAAAGTAAACCTGTCAAGCAGGAAAAAGTGACGGTAACATCGAAAAATGCTAAGGTAAGAGCTGGTCAAAATGAAAGATTCATTCAAAAAACATTAGGTACTGGAACAGAAAATCAGAAAATGTAACTGCCAATTTTAGTTCATGAGTGAATTAGTTACAGTAAGAAAAGATACAGTTTATATTGGGGCAAAACAGTTAAAGAATTAAGCTTGTTGCTGTTGGATTTTATATTGTGTTTGTATATACTAATACATATATATTTATTTATATGGCATGTTTTCCTCTTCCTGTCATGTTATCTTTCATCTGCCAATTAAAATTATAACGTGCTTACACTGGCTTCTTCTAATGTGTCAAAGCAAATCTTAAACTCATTGTGGTTACTGCTACAGTACAGCACTGTTCTTATGAATAACACCAGCTAAAAAGTACTCAGGTTGAAGTATCGGATAAATAATTTTAATTTTCTAAGCCAAAAATTATTACTACTGTTACTTTATTTGTGGCCAAGCACAGGATAAACTATGCAACTGATTGATCTGTGCAGCACAGCACAGGGTCTGTGACACAGCATCTCTGACTCGTCTATGCACAGTGGTCTCTAGGTAAGGATTACCACCTTCCACCACTTGATCCACATCTGTTTACCTTTCCCAGATATAATAGTAAGTTACAGGTTGTATTAATAACATGCAGGCTTCTCAAACCCTAGGTGCAAGGTCCAACAGAGCACACGTGGCCTGTTTGAGATCACTTTTTCTTTTAATATAATGTATTCACAGGCTCTGAATACAGTAACTTACCTCCCATATTTTATCAGGCTCATCATCCTTTAAATTATGCATAATATCTCAGAACTAATATACTGATATGTTTCAGTCTGTTACTGTTTTGGCTTAGACAAATCATTAACTTAAAAGCTGAAATATCTGATGTCATATATGTATTACAGCTACCAACGAATTCACAAGTTTATGAGCTCCTAACTTTTCTTATGGATTGGATCTCAGACCAGCATCTTAGCAAAATAAAAATACATGAAGAAAGAGAGGACAGTCATAAACCTCAGACTATCGAGACCTCAAAAAAGATCTGCACCCAGGAAAGATGTATGAAGGTAAAGGGGTTTGGATTGTTTGCTTGTGTTAATGTTTTCAGATTTATGGGGTTTTTTTACATGATTCTGAGAATATAACAGGTCAGCCTGTTTTATACATGCTTTCAATACAGTGATTAAAAGAAAATCACTGTTACTAAATGAGTATTTATTCTAGCAGTGTGATGTAATAGATAATTTGACATTTGTAAAGCATACAGATCATTTTTTGTTCAGTCTCAAGTTTCAGTGTTTTATTTCACGTCGCTTCTGTCAGTTGATAATGTCTTGTGTCTTGTGTGTATGTAGTTCCTTTTTCCTAAGATGATGAAGAAGTTTAACTTAAAATATTTTGATGCCTATATTAGATATATAAGTTTCAATTTATAACTGATAAATGGTGATACTATGCTATACTTTTAACACTTTTATTGTTTTCTTTCTGGGGATACCAAGCTTTGGAAATCAGTATGGTGTCTGGAAAATCTTCTTTTACTGTTTTTTCTTAATTATATTAAAGATTTATAACCACTGAGATTGGATTTACCAAGGTTGAGCATGTAAAATTTTTTTTTTTTTTTACTACTGCATGTAAAATTTGAAATCTCTGTTTGTGTGCAATTCTGTTACATATACTGGATCTGCCCAGTGAGTATTTGCATATGTAACCTGTTCAACTCCAAGAGACAGTTGTGAGTTCTCTTTATTTGTTTTTCACTTATACATTAGTTTCATACACTGCATGTAATTTTACTTCTGTATATTTTTGTAGCTTCTGCCTATAGCTACTGAGCAACTCCAGTGGATGCCATTTGTGAATTCCAAACTACACATGCCTGTAATTAAATTTATTTACTGGTCTATAAGACAGTTAGACAGTGGTGTTCAGGTAAGATAAATAGTCCTCTTGCAGTATGTTGGGATTTTTTTAACTTAAATTCATAGAAGATATTAATAGAGTTTTTGTTTTAAGTACCTATGAAAAGTGGATGCTTTCAGGTAGTATATATAGAAAACCTGTGCTGTCTTTACAAAGCATAAATTGACAGTGTTTGTCACAGATAGATGGCAAGTGAAAAAATAAATTCTTTTTCAAGCTAATTTTAGGTTTTGTATTGTGTATCTAAACAGAATTTTCTTAAGTAGTTGATCTCTTAAGTGGTGTCTAAGCATCTCGGAAATTCTATTTTTACATATGTATTTACAAAACTTCTGCATTAGAAAAGACTTTTCAGGTTCGCTTTATGCATGGAATTTGTGGAAAGTGATGGAGTAAGTGTGTGACAAAGCTGGGAAGTAATTTCGATTTTCATGTTCTCTGTTCAGTGTCTAACCTCTAGACACTCCTTATTCACTGACTAGACTGCTGTAAGAAAAGCTCTAGCAGTATAATAAAGGAAAAGACAGTAGACATACTGTAGAGACTCAGTATAGGGCACAATGCTTTCTTTCAATAGTGCTCTTGATAAAGCAAAGGTAGGAAATCTTGTAAACATCTTGAGTTTAAATTTAGTAGAATAATGAGCTGTTGGTTTTATTGCTAATAAGAAACTATATTTTAAAATAGCATATTGTGATGTTTGATTCTGAAGTAATATTTCTGTATAGTTTATGATGAAAAGGCTAATAGATCTGAGCTGCAGAATGTTCTTAAGGTTTGTGATTAGACCATGATTCTGTAAATGCTTTTAAAGGATATGATTTCAGGCAGCCTTATAAAATAGAGTCGGCTGAAGATGAGCTTATTCTGGAACCAGAGGCAATCTAAATAATATCAGTGTGTCAGGGGCCCTCATTAACTAGTCTCATTATGAAGTATGTGTTGATATGATACATGATAATGTTGTTCAGCTGCTTTTGTAACACGAAGTAGTATATCCCGTACAGATTATATTCCAATACGTGGTCAGACAATTTGCTACCTAATATTTAATCATTAGGGAAACATATATATCTCTATATAGTACACAGGATTTTAATGTGTTTTAATGGTTACTCCAGCTCTGCATTTTTTGAAACAGCATGCAGCAATGACATCAACAATGAGGAGACTTGGTGAAGATATTTTCAAAGGCATAGTAATTAAGGGAAACCCAGACAGTTCTTCTGAACAGTCTACAGAGAGTAAATCAAAATTGGCAGCTTTTTTTAAGAGTTCCTGTATGCCTTTGAGATTTCTCTCAACTTTAATTGTGCTTAAAACAGTGACACAAGGTAAGTTCTACTTTTTTAAATGTTTATTTCAGTCATGTGCCTGGACAAAAAAAACGTTTTGGTGATACTGTAGAGTCTACTATGCTCTACTAGTGAAAAGTGGGTTTGCTTGAATTTTACTAGTTTGTGAAGCAAAATATATTGGAAACAAGTAGGAATCTTGCTATTAATCATTTAATGTTGGAATTTGCATGTTCCTTTTAATACAGCAACTTCTTGTCAGACCAACATTTCTGAAGAAGGGGAAAAGAGATGTTGGTAATTCTGTAAAACTGTCACTGCAGCAGCAATTGGTTTAACAAGATCTTTGTTGCATTGATACACAAAGCTAGTTGCTCTTCTATAAACTAAATAATGGATTTTGCACAGTTGTTTACCTATCCCTGAAAGGCTGATCATCTGCAGTGCCAAGTGTTTATTTTCTGACATATTCGTTATCTTTATAGATAAATTGCATGTTCATAGGTATTTCTTATGTATATTTAATGACACAGAGAAAGCCACTCGTGTAGTGGATGGTAGTTGTTGAATCGAATTGTGTGTGATACAACATAAAAAGGACATGGAACTGTTGGAACAAGTCCAGAGGAGGGCCACGAGGATGATCAGGAGACTGGAGCACCTCCCGTATGAAGATGGGCTGAGAAAGTTGGGGCTGTTCAGCCTGGAGAAGAGAAGGCTGTGTGGAGACCTCATAGCAGCCTTCCAGTATCTGAAGGGGGCCTATAAGGATGCTGGAGAGGGACTATTCATTAGGGACTGTAGTGACAGGACAAGGGGTAACAGGTTCAAACTTAAATAGGGGAAGTTTAGATTGGATATAAGGAGAAAATTCTTCCCTGTTAGGGTGTTGAGGCCCTGGGATAGGTTGCCCAGGGAGGTTGTGAATGCTCCATCCCTGGCAGCGTTCAAGACCAGGTTGGACAAGGCCTTGGGTGAGATGGTTTAGTGTGAGGTATCCCTGCCCATGGCAGGGGGGTGTGGAACTAGATGATCTTAAGGTCCTTTCCAACCCTAAATATTCTATGATTCTATATTTCCTGAAATTGCTTTGTCCTTTGGTCTGGTTTAGTATACAGTCCAAACTCCAGCCTTTACCTGTCTGCTGCTCCCCTCTTCTCCTACCAAGTCTGGCACTGCAAATGGCTATCCATAAAATATTATCTATATAGAAAACTGCTGCTCTATGAAACTGTCAGTTCTTGATGCAATTGTCCTTTCAGATTTCACTGTTAAATAGATTCATTTCCAAAGGCACCATGTTCTATTTAAATTAAAATGTTTTAGACTTCAAAGCCAAACTGTCAAATGGCCTTTTTATCCAAATTATTCCAAAATTCCTATGTTGATGTAGCATAGTAATGTAATAGTTTGTTAACAAGGCGAAAGCAAACAAGGTCAGGAGATAACACAGTTCTGAAAATATTGTCTTCTTCAGGTCATGACAGGTTACTCTGCTTGTGCAGTTTTTAAAATGCGGTAGCAAATCTTGTCAGTGGGGCCTTCTTTGAAAACAGATGCTGTCTGAAAAGACTAAAAGATTTTTGTTAAAATGATGACAAAAATTGACCGTTTCTTGTTAGCTCTAGATGTTGAGCACACTATGAGAAGAGGCACAAACTCAGATTTTTAATGCTTTCCTTCCTTATCCTTTTGACATAGAGATTACTATATACTTCTCTGTCAGAACCCAGAGAAGAAAGACCTTAAATCAGTCTGATTTATAGAGATATTTTAATAACTGATAGATTAACTTTGATCATTTAAACATTCTTCCCTATTTCTAATTTATATATGACTTCTTTAAAAACTTTAGCCCTAATACATAATCTGAATTATGCTTGAAGGTTCTTAATTCTTAAATCTGTAGATTTGATGAATAATCCCAAAGAATGTCTTACTTTGACTTCTTTTATTATTTTTCTTTTTTGACGTCATTTTTTCAATTCAATAAAGGCTTAAATGATTGCTATAAAACAGTTCTGTTCACCTGTGCAAAAATAGTCATCAGCATAAAAGCTGCAGAGTTGATAAGTCCCCTCTGAATGCTAACTGCAAAATATAATTGTTATATATTACCAAGTTGAGCTTCTGACTGTATAAGCACTTGATTTTTTTGTGCATTTATATCTTTGAGGAGAAAAAAAACAACAAATACATTTGTAAGCAATATAGTCCCAACAGCCTTCAGTGCCTGTTGAGGATTATTGTATCTGAAACAGCTACATCATTTTCAGCTCACACTTCTGCCTTTTATTAATTAAAAAGTAATGAGGGGTTGGGGATCACAGGGTGTACAACTCCTTTCACCGTGAGGGGTTTTTTTTCCACTTTGTTCCCACGATCCTTCCACTTTTCACATTCGCAGATGAGTATAATAATAAAGTAGGATTCTCCACTTAGAATTTACATAATTTTCTGTTGGCAATAAAACAGAGGAAATTTGGGTCTTCCCTGCCTCATGGGAGAGAGAGAAGGTAAAGGTTTCAAAGTGACATAATGAGTTAACAAGAGTCAGATTGTGTCAGGACAGGGTGAGAAAAAGCTGTGGAAAATGTATCTCAAATAATAGAGTAACTGTTCTCTCAGCTGATTTGTTAACTGCTGCCTTCAGTTATGAAGCCTTTTCTCTGTTCAAAGGAAATAGGAAGCAAGGTGTTGCAGATCCTTTTATGGAAGTCAGGCAGAAAACACTAATTATATACCATCAAAAGCAGGTGTAAGAGGTGATTATTGTCTACCTGGAGCTACTTAGGAGTACTGTGATGCTGCATAATTGGGATTTTCTGCAAGAATAAGCTTTACAGGGATAGCATAAGAATTAATGTATCTATAACCTTTTTCCAACTGTTTATGATGCTAACCACTTATTTTTTCCTTTTCAAAGACATTTTGAAAGCACAGATCATTTTGATAGCAAGTAGTTTTAAGTGGGGTTACGACTGAGCAAACTGACTCCAAATTAAATTATTCACTGATTCTATTTTTGCTCTTTTAATCAGAATGGTTTCTATTTTAAAATGTTGTTACTACTAACATATCCCCCTCTGCTAGTCAAACAAAGAAATGGAGACAGGTTACAGAGATGTGAATTTTCAAGGTGTAATCCTTGAAAACCATGCCCTAATGTCAAAATCCAGGGCCTGCTTTGGCATCTGATCTTTTTTTTCAGTCTCTTGCATGAAATATATTATGAATTTTGGGCCGTTTCTTAGACAGCAGAGATCTACACCACAAAATTGTTTCAATCTGTGGCATAGTGTGTGACACTAAACAGGGGTGCCAAAGATTTTAAATCCATAGGTAATGAGCAGTGTTCTTGTTCATAGAAGTCATATTTCTGAATTAGATGGTTGAGCAGATGAGTATGCCTTTATGCTTAACTGACCTGTGCAGTATTTGTATTGTGAGTCTCTATAGTAAATACCAGATATAAACATGGTGGAAATCCACCCTTGACATCATTAATGAACAAATGCAATATTTCAGCTGTCAGAGGAAACTATGTCAGTCAAGATATTTTGGTGAACCGTGATAATTACTCTTAAATTGGGACTCGAATTTCTAGAAACGTTTGATAAAAATGATAAAAAAGAATTGCAAGACAAAAAATATTTATTGCAGAGACTTAACCTAAGCAGATGAATGTTCTTGATTAGAATGAATTAGTTTAGTTTCTCATGGTTGCTTTATACTGCTATCTTCTATAACATGGAAAATAAGTTTCATTGTTAAACATATGTCGACTATCACTGTATGAATTTTGATCACTGTGACTACATGGCACTAATGATTTAGTGAGAAAGTAGCACATTCGTTTTGAACATAGATCCCATTTCCTTCAGAGTCCGTATCCAGCAGATGGCACTGTAGTTAAGCTTTTGCTGCAGAATACATTGTTTTCTTAATTTTCTGCGCTCCAGATGATCAATGCTGTTCCAAGATACTAAGAAGGATCTGACATAGGAAATTAAGAAAATTGGATTGGTTCACTTAATCTACATTCCGCATATAATTTAGTGCACTCCACAGTGGATGGGTCTATAAAATGTGTGCACTGAAGCTTAAACTACAGCTTTTATAGGAAGGAATCGGAGTAGTTGCTCTTAGGCAGCATGGTCTAATGTGAGGCATCCCTGCCCATGGCAGGGGGGTTGGAACTAGATGATCTTAAGGTCCTTTCCAATCCTAACCATTACATGATTTATGAAATTAATCGCTCTTCTTCAGACAAATCAGCCCTTAACTCCTTTAATAGAAGTTTCACAGATGTTGATGCTAACATTGTCTCAAACTATGCAAGCTTGTCATTTTCTCTTAAGCAATTTGTAAGCGTATTTTTCTTCAACATACGAGTTGTAGATTGTCTTTTTCCTCACAATAAAATGTTAGGGAATAAAAACAAGCAGATGATGTCTTTAAATGAAAATAAAATTTAATATTTTCAGCCATTTAACTTGCCGAGAGTTACTGAAACAGTAACTCTCAGGATAGTTGTTCACATATTGCTTAATGGTGCTATATTATAGAAGTTTTATTGCCTTTATTCTGATGTCTTACAGTGGATTACCTGGCTCAGGCGTTTGATTCCCTTCGAACAGACTTGAAGACAGATGAAGGGAAGGCCTTATTTTTGGAATACCAGTGTGTGCCTATTATATTAAGTCACTTAAAAGTATCCAGTAGAGGTCTGCTTTCCGTTGCTTTTGATGGATTACTTCAGATGACCACAGAATCTGGTAAATTTGGATAATTAATAAAAATAACAATAAAATCATTGTGAAAACAGGTAAGGTAAGCAGAAATACAGTGTGAAAAATAACAGAATTCTTCTGTGTAAATATTCTAATCTAGTATTAGAATTTGTTTGTATCATGTAAATTCATCAGAGACATAAGATATGCTTCTGAGTTGTCATGTCTTTTCTTTTTCCTCGGAGTGCCTATGCTTTATATTTTGTCCTGGTTGCTTTCTATTTATTGATGTGAAATTTTTCATTGCTATTTTTAGGTTGGCTTTTCCATTTATTCCACTGAATTACCTTGCAGATGTTTTTCTTTGAAGTCAGGCTGTGCCAAGGAAGCCATATCATGAAAACCTGCCAGCAGGTGGAGATAAAAAATAGGCTTTACTTAATTTCTTTTTCTAGTTTGATGAGCAGCTCATCCCCAATCATTTTTCAGTTTCTGATAATTGGAAATTGCCTTTTTGGAAGAGATGGTCATGTTTTGCTGAATTTTACTGTGTTGTCACCCTGTAAAGGTTTTATAATCTCGTTTTGTCACAGCACTTTTCCAAGTGATACAGGCTAAGAATCAGTTGATAAACAACTGGATGAGCATATGAAGGTAGTGAGGCATTCCAGTGCCATGTTGAATAAACCTTCTGACTGGTTTGGGTAGGGTTTTTTTTAAGGTAGGAATTACTCGCTGTCTTCTAAAACAGAAAAGGGGATGGGGCTGCTACTATTTTTGAAATGTATGTTGTTATTCTGGAAGTATTTTGTCACCAGGCATTCTAGTGCTAAAAATAGCAAGCATGTTTGACTTGGGATGGAATAGCATTGAGTTAAGAAGCCATTTTGTACTGATGTGAGTGGCAGAAATATTAAAGTTTTAATCTTCCTTGCAGTCTCTTCTTCGGACATGTAGTTAGTGTGTGGTCTTACACTGAAGTATTCTTCCTAATAGTCATAACTATGATTGGTTAAAGTGACTAGGAAAGAGGTAGTTGTATGCACAAAAGTAAGCTGAGCAAGGTGGATGGTGTCTGATATTACTTTGGGTAATGCCAATAAATAACAGGACATCTTCTGTTACCTAGCAGTAGTTGTTGTGATATACTAAATAACTGAAGCTTCAAGAATAATGGAGATACATTGTGACTCACATTTTGCCTTGTTGCTTCTCAGAGAAGATGTATTATGTGTGAAATCAGGGAAGGGAGGAGTAATGTTTAATTCAATTGACATTTGATTGAGAATTTATTTCTCGGCCACTGGATATAAAGCCTTATGCAGGGCCTTATCTCTTTAGTAGAATAAATAGCCAGTACAGTAGTTACAGGCATGTTCTGCTCTTTTCCATTGCGTTGTGTGTTACAGGAAATTGTTAGCAATGAGTAGTGCTGTTGGTTGGAATTCAATATTTTCATTCCTATATAAGCGTCCTATCAAAAAGTCATTAAAAGACAAACTAGAAGGTGGCAGTGAATATTTAGAGAGCTTGCTGTGTTAGATTAAAACAGGAATTTATGTTTTTAATGCTGTATTGGTGTGTAGCCTTAAAGTTGTAGGTAGTTGGCCATATATTAAAATATGCAATATTATTACCCCAAAAGACAGTGTCTGACCAAAGGGAGACAAAATCTAGTCTCTCATATTTTGGTCATGTAAGATATGCAGTCACAGGCATTCTTTCAACTTTTTGCAATAATTTTCAATTGGAGTATTCAAATATTTGCTCAAAAATATTACCTTTAGAGCTGAAATTATTTGAAGTTATGTTGGAAAAAAATTTTTTGGTTTTTTTTTTAAGTATTTTTAAAGATTAAAATTTCAGCTGGCCAGGTTGAAAGGTGTGAATCAGGTGTGAAATAACTACTGTGTTGTACTACTCTTCCCTGCAACTGCATGTACCTTCTGTTATTGTAAGCAATGAATGCCAATGATTCTGTATAGTCCAGGCCTGTCTGAGGTCCTCATGCAGGTTCTCTTCCCTGTAAGAAACATCTTGCTTATGTTCCAGAAATGAAACTTAGATTTCCCTCATATATTAAGGAAAATTACTTAAGCTGCATATGATGAAAGTACCTACTAGTCTAAGATGAATATTTCTGTTGCTAAAAATTATAACAGTCTGCAGTACTGCTTAAGCCCATTGACTGATTTGCTTTTGGTGTGCATGTTTTCAGATTTTAGGTCAGTATCATTGCTTTTGGCTTTAAAGTAGATGTGGTACAATGGGTTCAAGATCCAAGTTTCCATTGTGAGTTCATACAACATTGACAGTGCTGATGAGGCATTCAGTTACTGAAAATACGATGTCAAATGCAAGAGTTGAGGCATTGGTATCATCTGTTTTCTATCAATGTACAAGATCTTAATGGCAAATTAAAATGAACAGTCTTAGTGTTGTGCATCTTACTGGTACAAGAGAACTTTCAGTTTATGTTCATGCTATAATAGTCTTGTAACTTTGGCTTTTACATCTTCCAGTACTTCTGTAGATTCTGTTCACTTCTTTTGGTGATAATATGTTTGAGGAAAGAAACTTTGCAGTTGAGTGAGTTTTTACCCTAACCATTTGCTTTCTGTTAGTAAATACTTGCTTCATTTAACCTAAGCTAGAAACTTCATAAGTAGCTGAAATTGAGTTGCAGGTATTTTTTAGGATACAAAATATAATTTTAAATAACTTATGTTTTATTTCCTGCCTTTTGCATGCTGGAGTGATTCTTTTCCTTCACATGAGCTCAGTGACCTAAGTTTAAATCTAGCTGGTTTAGTCTATCTTCAGTGGAAGCAATAGGTTGATTTTAAATTCCACATTTGGAAGAGTTAACAGCTTGTTATGAACCTGACAATAGAAAATCAGCCCAACAAAGGTATCTTATCCCTTTTCTCTTACTACATTCTAATACTTTTACCTAAAAATGTCCATAATGGTGCATAAGTTGGTCCATTTCAACCTGTTCAGCCTTCTATTTTAAATGTCCTTTCCAGTAGCTGATACAAGTGAAACACAGCATTGAAGCAGCAGTTTAGCTATATTTTCACTGTGGCTATCGTTATTGTTTCTTTTTCATGGTAAGATGAGATGAATGCCAGTTCAGGTTTATCATTTTCAGTCTCTTATTTGACTCTCCATACCCATTACTGGGATTTCAATACATGTTTGTTTTTTGAAGGATGCCTATCTTTCCTTTGCTAGAAAGATTGACTGAGTAAAAGCAAGTCCTTCAGGGTATTTTTAATGGTAGTGGTATTTTGCTTGAATCTGGGGCTTGAGATGAGTGCCATAAGATTCAACTTGATCCTTCTTTTGATCTTTGAAACTAATGAGTGGTCTGTAAAGGCAGCTTTCTTTCATCCCATTGCATAAAAGGGGAAGATATACATTCCTGCTCTTTTTACAGGGATGAAAGATTTTGGTACCAAAGATTTTCTTACCTTAGTTAAGGAAAGCAGGCTACCAAGCCATGATGTTTGGTTTTTAGTCCCATCTTTAAGCTATGAACCTGTCTAAAGATAGAAGTAAGAACAAAACTATCTCTGATAGTACTGTCACAGAAAATAGATTTAGTTTCTTGATAAACTCTGAATGTGCTTGGTGATAGATCTCCACAAATGTAGTGCTTTGACTGCCTTTGAAATTTTGGGAGCAAAACGTATTAGCTTATAATGTATTTATTGCTTATAATGTATTTATTACTTAACAAAACTCTTACCATTTCCCACTTGAATTACTATTGAAATTAATTTAATAAATAAATTACTAGTTCCTTTAAATCATCCAAATTTTTACAGTATGACACCAGTGGCTTCCAGAGTATCTTCATACCCAAGTTCTCTTCCCATACCGAGTTCTCTTCCCAAGACTACAGATTTCTTTTACCAACAGATCTTGTTTCTAGGACAGTAGTTGCAGCACTCTGTTCAAGAGAATTCCTGGATGCCAGACATGAAACGTTTTCTGGAAACAAGCTAGTAATAAATAGCATGACGTCAGGAAGAAAATTTGCTCTGTGGGTGTTGAAGAACACTACATCATTAGTTTTAAATCACCCTGTAGTTGAATATATGTCATATACAGTCTTGTTGAATACTGTTGTTCCTGTCATCTCACTTCTTATGCAACTTCCTGTGTTTTTTTTTTTTTTACCTGTGTATCAGTTAAAAGGGTTCCAAAGGATATAGTGAATTTATAGTCACCTATCAAAAATACCTCTGTTGAGCTGTGGTCTGATTCATGCTTGATTTGAGATCTGCTATCTCAAATCTGATATCAAGTGCAGCGCTGCCTTCCTCCGTTTCACCCTTTGCACTTTTGCACAAAACCAGTATGTCTTAAATTCCTCCTGCAGTGATGGCTAACTTCTATCATGTAGATTAGTACATTCCCCTTTCCCAACCTTATGGTCATTAAAGGAAATCAAAATTTGCTCATTAGACATTATAAAGCACTGGCCTTTGCTTTAAATAAACCTTATGTTTATTTTGTCTTCAAGCTTACTTCTGTTTTACAGAGAGAATATTTTGCATTAATGTGTGCTTATTTACAAATACACAAGTGCATATTGGAAAAAAAAAATCTCTAAATGACTCTCATGTTCACTCTAGGATGTATTCTCATAGGGCTTAAGTATGATTTCTTAACCATATTAACATTGCTTAAGAGTTTTAGTAACCGCGGAAGTGAGCTGTATTTAAACATTAACTGAACCTTACTTATAATTTTTTTTTTTTTAGAAGAAAATATTATTGGCATGGATAACCAAGTCTGTGTCCAGATTTACTCTTTTTACAAGGGAGTTAAGCCAGTGGAGATAAAAAAAAATGTCTCCATAGCAAGAAGTTGTAATTACTTACTTGTAAATTGAATTTAAGGTCCCTTCCAACCCAAACCATTCTGTGATACTACGAATCTTTTAATGTGGCCTGCATATATGGACACTCTCCCTCTTGCTTCATGTTGGGATGCTTCCGTGACTAATGCTAGGTATTCTGCAGTTCACACTG